AGCCTTGACTTCCGGATCCTCAGGTGAGATATATGTTGAAGGCAATTCTCCAAACTCTACAATGCACCTGGTTGTTTCAAGCATAGCTTTTATAAGATTATTAGTTGCATCGAACTGATGCCTAAATGCTCCTCCTTTTTCCATAACCATTGGCAATCGCTTGATAAGCGCCATGGCTTTCCCCAGGGCATTTGTAGAGTAAATTTGAACAAGAAGCCAAAAGTCTCCGTATGTCAATGCAAATGCTGCTAGTGTCAGCACTACCTTGGCTTCCCAAGAAAAGTGCTGCAACATATCAAGCACCGCGAGGGTGGTATTGTGTGCATCAACACCACTTAGCACCTTGCAGGTCATCTGCATCAGGTATATAAAATATAAACTGTCAAATGCTGTATAATTTTGTACACATATCTCGATTAACTCTAAAATCTGAGGTATAGATAACTTATTGAGCTATTTAGCTTAGTGTAATGACATAAGTAAAATGTAGTGCTGATATGCAATTACCTCACAGGAAATTCGTTCGACGATAAGTGGTAATTCGGGAACTTCTTGCAGACCATTCAGGGTATATTTACCTTCCAAGGAAGCCTCTCTCTTTGAGATAATAGTACCCTGCTGCAAAGATCAAAACAGAGTTTTTAGTAAAAATAGGAAATATTGTAGTCTACAATTTAGATTGAATAATACAAGTAATTTAATCACCATACCAGTGATTCCCCTTCAATAGCTTGAGTGGATCGGTCAATGATATCCTCAACAAGACGGAGTAGTGGCCTGACATCAACGTTTCGAGCATCAGGAAAATGCAGCTGCTCAACCTGTCTGACGAGAGAATGATCATCAGATGTCAGAAAAATGCCTCCTCGTTCAGTACCCCTCGGTAGTAGCCCCAAGGGCTCATGACGATCAGATGGATAACGCATTCCATGCTCAGTACCTCTTGGTAGCAGAGGTCTTCCGAGGCTATCAGATGGCACAAGGGCCAGGCCAAGGTCATTACCTTTCGATGATAAAGGTAGCCGGCCTCCCTGATCATATGCTGTTAAAGGAAGCCTGCTGCCATCATCATAAGGCAATGGTGACTTGCCAACACGTTCAGTACCTCTTGGTGGTGCTACCATTGACCTTCGGTCATCAGATGGCAAGTACATGCCTCGCGGATCAGCAGCAGCAGCACCCCTAGGCAGTTGTGACCTAGCATCATCAGAAGGCAAGTACAAGCCTCGCTGATCAGCAACACCCCTTGGCAGTTGTGATCTAGCATCATCAGAAGGCAAGTACATGCCTCGCTGATCAGCAGCAGCAGCAGTCCTTGACGCTGGTGTCAAGGAAGAAGACAGTGGAGTTGAAAGATTGGAGGTCAGAGGGTTGTTTGCCATAGTGCTTAAAAAGCGCGGTACCCTTTTCTTTTGTGTTTGAAATAGAATAAATCAGGGTAAAGTTGTGTGTTTCATGGTAATGTTATTGACCCTTTATATAGCATTCGAAAAGGAATAAAGCGATCTGAATCAACTTCCTTACTTCCATTGATAAACATTATCAAACTTGTGTAGTTAAGTGGAAGCCTTGTATTAAAGGTCCCATTCATTTTTAGCTTTCACTTTCTTTTGCTGTAGGTTTGTTCTGAGTTACTTGAATAAGATCTCAACAAGAATATTGGATGTAGCCTTAATAGGAAACCATTCTCGAAAATGACCCTTGCTACAAATTAAACCAATGGCATATAATCCGTGACAATTTAAATCATCATTAGAGAAAAAAAAAAAAAAAACACCATTACCCAATATAATATCAACCAGTGTATGATCGAAATTTTTATGTTTTGACCATTAAAGTCCAGCTTACTGGTTTATTATTAATAATACAATGTCGAAGGTAGAGCTTACTTTGTGAAGTCTAAGGATTTCGGCCTCTTTTTGCAATAATGAAGCAAATTAATTTGATAACATTGAATCTAAATAAGTTAATCCTGAGATGCTACTAAAAGTTACACTTTCTAATCCATAATTAAACACAATAATCTAAATTTAATCCTAAACATTGAATAATTGATGTTGTTATGTGATTGGGTAAGACAATGATAAATTAATCGTAAGATAAAAGCATTGTAAAAGGCATAAACTAAGTTCTAGGTTTATTTATTTGCTACTTTACTTGATTCTATATCACATTTGCTGCTCTTTTGCACACAAATTTTCTTTAATCAGTTAAGAAGACATATTAAAGTTACAAGAACAGACAAAAAAGAAATATTTCATTCCTTGCTTCTTTTCCCAAGCTACAAAAAGAATCTTAAATTCTGCATTCTAGTTCACTATACATAGTAATGATAACATGAATAATCGAGTATTATCCAAATCAATATTGTACGAATTAATGTACATACTCCTTTTATTAGCTCTAAAATTATGTATTGATCATGTCCATTATTAGCTCTAAAATTATGAACATATAGTGTAAGAAATGAGTAAAAAAGCTTTCAAACAGTGCATAGGCTAAACCAAGGGGTGAGGCTATATACAGAGTTTGACATAAATGGAATGAAATGAAATTTAGTGAAATTCTATAAAAAAAAAAAAACAACCTTGAAAATACACTACATATAAAGTTTGTCGAAATTTCAAGAATGGTTGTACTATGTAAAAATTAGCAGTCCCTCCATTTCATAATGTTAGTCCATGTGGAATCAATTACATATAACAAAAAAAGAAGAATATTTAAAATCTAACATGAAAGTACAATATAATTCATAATAAGTTTACCTTAAGTTTTTTGATTTTTTTTTTCTTTAGGAAAGCATAATTCATAATAGTATAATTCAAGGTAAAGATTTTCTTACATAGACTATTGTCATCAATCCACAACCAACCAATTCCAAAAAAAATTAAGTTAAAAATGTTATATATTTAATATGGGTAGATTTTTTTAAAATGGCTAAAATAATATACGAGACTAGCATTATTAAACGGGGGAGTAACAACTAAGAATGTTAAGAGTGATTAATGGTGAAAGCTTGAAGTTGCCAAATCATGTAAATTTTAACAAATGATGTCAATGGTATTACGTAGCCAAAATCACGTGTAACGAGAATGTGATTTACTTTCCTTTATGAGTCAGTCAAGGGGAGAATAAATTTTAAAAACAGTATAAAGAAAAACTTCAGCAGCACAAATGGCATATATATTTAAATTTCTATCAAATTGAAGTTAAATGATGAGCACGGTAAAACTTACTGATATTTAAACCAATAAGATAATTTCTCTTTTATTATATGTAGAGTCATAGAGAGGAGCAGAGGAGTTATAAATTATAGGTCTTCTATATCAAGATTAAAACCTAACCTATGTGGAAAAAAAAAATTACTTTTTGTAAAAGAATCGATATCTTTGTGAGTTTGCATGCATTGGTTTAAAACTGTTACATAAGCTGTTATATGGTTAGATTTGTGATAGATATGACGAGTGGTGACATTGCCAAAATGTCGAATAACCCATGCCTAGCTAGTTGACCAATAAGGATTTCGTCCCAATAAGACTCTTTATTTAACCTCTATCAACAAATATAAAAAATAAAATAAAATAAAATAAAATAAAATAAAAAACACAAAGGATAGAGAAACCATGGTTAAAAGATTGACGGGGTATTTTGATACCTAGATGATTTTTCATAACAACACCAATTGTCGGTAGATATATTGTAAAATCGGAAAATAAAGATTGAAATGTGGGCCAAATTGTTTAATGTATCATCTATGTATATCGGCAATAATGTTGTGACGTGTTAAGAACACTATCTTAAAAGCAAAATTCGCCCTAGGGGCCGGAGAAGGATCAGAGCGGTAGGAAAACACTTTAAACAACTAACATTAAACCCTCATATAAAAACCAAGTAAAACTTTCTTCCTCCACCAGTGCAGGACAACTAAACCCTTTTCTTCCAAAGTTCCAATATATAAAATAAGTAAAATCTTCCTTATCCCACCATTGTGGGACATAGAGTTTTCCTCCAAAACAAATAAATTGCTTATATTGAGTACAATTGTATTGTGGGGCAACCCTGGCCTTTGTGTGCTAGTAGTTGTAATGTTGTTTTCTCACATAGATTACCTTCATTATATCCATGACGCTTGTTTCTAAAAGTGTCTATCTTAGAGTAAAAGTGTGTAAAACCGCTAACCATTTTTATCCCCAAATCTAACGATGTTCATCAAGGAGATAAAGTAGGACTCCCTCACAATAATATGAACTGCGCTATCACTTTAATTTAAATAAGGAAAATTTGCGAGGAAAGTCCTTTTAAATGGTCGACTTTGTGAGGAAGGTCCTTCTATAAAAAATTAAAAATAAAAATAAAGATTAGTAAGCACAAAATATCCTTATATCCCATTTAGGTTGTAGAGAGGGTCCGTTGACTAAACTCCGGCGTTGACTAGAATTTTTCCGACCAAATAAAGTCACTTGCATAGCACGTGACAACTTTAGTTACCTTTTTTTTTTCCTTTTCTCTTTTTTCCCTCGATTTCCCCCTTTTGAAACCCTAATTTCAGACCCAAAGTAATCACAAAGTAATTTCAAGGATAAGAATTCAAGATTTGTGATTACTTTGGGTCTGAAATTAGGGTTTCATAAGGGGGAAAAAGGGTGAAATCGAGGGGAAAAGAGGGAAAAGGAGGGAAAAGTTAAAAAAAAGAGGTACTTAAGTTGTCACGACTTTATTTGGGCGGAAAAATTCTAGTCAACGCCGGAGTTTGGTCAACGGACCCTCTCAACAACCCAAATGGGATATAAGGACCTTTTGTGCCACCTTTTTTTTTATAAAAAGTGTTAGATTTTGTGTAAACTCCTCAGATTGGAGTGATTCCATTGATCAAATATATATAGGGTTACAAGAGTGAGCCCTAAACACGTTAGGAGATCTCACAAGATAATTACAGAATATTAACAAACTATATATATCCTTCTATACAAAATAATATCGAGAATATTTATCATATTCTATCACACCCCCGCAGTCTTAGCGGGAGGAGGACGTACGCTGAGATTGGACCGAAATTCCAGAAATAGTTGTCGAGGTAGGCCTTTCGTGAAGATGTCAGCAAATTGATAACGTGAAGGAACGTGCAGGACCCGTACATGCCCCAACGCCACCTTTTCTCGAACGAAATGAATGTCCATTTCGATGTGCTTGGTGCGTTGGTGCTGTACGGGGTTATGAGATAAATAAATGGAACTGACATTATCACAATAAACAACGGTGGCCTTTCTAAGAGGACAATGTAACTCCAAAAGAAGATTACGAAGCAAACATGCCTCGGCAACAACATTTGCTACGCCACGATATTCTGCCTCTGCACTTGATTTAGAAAGAGTAGGTTGACGCTTAGAAGACCAAGAAATGAGATTGTCACCTAGAAATTAACAATACCCTGAGGTCGACCAAACGAGTGTCAGGACACCCGCCCCAATTTGCACCAGTATAAGTAATCGATTGCGAGGATGATGAAGGATATAAGTATAACCCGTGATTAATGGAGCCCTGAATATAACGCAGGATGCGCTTCAATGCATCATAGTGAGCCTCTCTAGGGTCATGCATGAATAAGCAAACCTGCTGAACTGCATAAACAATGTTAGGGCGAGTGAAAGTCGAATACTGAAGAGCACCTGCAAGACTGCGATATAGTGCTGGATCATGAAATTTAGGTTCTGTCTAGCTCTCCACTGGAGTCGTCGCAGATTTACAACTAGCCATGCCTGCGCGCTCTAAAATTTCCTGCGCATATTTCTGCTGTGATAAAAACAAGTATGATGGAGTACGAGTGACAGCAATGCCCAGAAAAAAATTCAGAGGACCTAAATCAGTCATTGGAAATCCTGTACGCAGGTGAGAGATGATTCGCTCACGTAACAAATCCGAGGATGTGACCAACACAATATCATCAACATATAATAGAAGGTATGCCACATCATTCCTGTGTCGGAAAATGAATAAAGAATTGTCACTCTTAGAAATGACAAACCCCATCTGCAAGAGAAAGTTAGCAAATCATTGATACCAAGCCCTGGGGGCTTGTTTTAGACCACAGAGAGCCTTAAGGAGTCTGCAAACATAGCCTGGAAATCTCTTGTCAACAAAACCGGGGGGTTGATGCATATACACACACTCTTTCAAATCAACATGTAAAAAAGCATTTTTAACATCAAGTTGATGAATAGCCCACTTACGAGTCATAGCCAAGCTTAACACCGTGCGAATAGTGGCCGATTTCACAACTGGAATGAAAGTTTCATCACAATCCACTCCTTCAACCTATGATTTTCCATTACAAACAAGACGAGCTTTGTGTCGTTCCAAATCACCATTAGAATTCAATTTATGACGAAAAAGCCACATACAATTAACAATATTCACCCCCGTAGGCCTAGGAACCAATTCCCATGTCCTCGTATTAATTAAAGCACTATATTCATCATGCATCGCAGAATTCCAATTAGGGTCGGAAAGGGCTTGTTTGTGATTCTTAGGGAGCGAGGAGCGGGTTATTGGATGACTCGGGGGGTAATGGAAAGGCCGAATTTTGGGTTCGGTTTAAATATGTCATGTTTGGAACGTGTTTGCATTTGAGGAGAGGGAGGTGGACGAGTTGTTGTGATAGGGGTGCAGCCACGAAGTGGGGGAGGTGTGTAGGTAGGGGAGGCCGAGCCAGCAGTGCGCGTGGCTAGGCTGTGTGGTGCAGCAGCACTACCCGAGCCAGCAGAAGGCGTGGCTGGGCTGCCTAGATGCACTGTCTGGCTCGGTGTGGGGCTATGCGAAGCAGCTGCGGTGGCTGGAAGCTCTGCCTGGCCAGCAGATTGCGGGGTAGCAGGGCCAAGCAGGCTGGTCCGCGGGTAGGCTGCAGTGTGAGGCAGAATGCCGCGGCCTGCCTGCGGACTAGGTTGTCCGGGGTTAGGGGGTGTGTTTTTGGGATGTTGTTGCATCAAACTAACGCAATGAAGGGTGATGCAAAAAATACGGAGAAGGATCATCGGAGGACAAAAAATCATAATCAGATTGGCGAAACATAGAAATGTTGCGGTATGGAAGAGTATTCTCATCAAAAGTGACATGACGAGAGATGATGATTTTGTTGGTTTTGAGATCCAAACAATGGTAACCTCTATGGTCGGAAGGGTAACCCAAAAACACGCAAGGTGTGGAACGAGGTGCTAGTTTGTGATACATAGTAGCGGACAAGTTCGGAAAACAAAGACACCCAAAAACCCGAAGGTGATCATAGGACGGAACTACCCCAAAGAGAGCCTGAGCCGGAGTGATTTGATTGAGAGTTTTTGTTGGCAAAATATTTAGTAAACAAGTTGCGGTTTTAAGAGCAAGATGCCACATGGAAGGTGGAAGGGAAGCATGGAATAGAAGGGTACGCTTAACATTGTTAATCGTACGGATCATTCTTTCGGCTTTGCCATTTTGGGATGATGTGTTAGGACATGAAAAGCGAAAAACCATTCCATTTTTAACACAAAATAATTTGAACGGATCATTATCAAATTCGCGACCATGATCGCTTTGAAAGGATTTAATAGGACGTTCAAATTGAGTAAGAATATATTGTCGAAAATTAAGAAAGGTTTGAAACACTTGAGATTTATAGGCAAGCAAAATAGTCCACACATAATGAGTGAAATCATCTAAAAGCACTAGATAATATTTGTGATCTTTGTCACTACGAATAGGAGAAGTCCACAAATCGGCATGAATGATGTCAAAAGCAGAATGAGTAGTGCTATTAGAATGATAAAAAGGCAAGCGAATATGTTTTCCCAGTTGACAACCAACACAAGTACTGGAGTCATGCTCCTTATTACAAACAATCAAATTTCAACTTTTAAGTAAATCTAAAGTAGGCACCCCGGGATGTCCTAGACAGTTGTGCCATGTAGATGGAGACAAGGCTATGAGAGAGGTGGCTAGACAAGTTGACGGAGTGGTGGTCACAGGATAGAGGTCCCCCGTACTATTGCATCTGGTTATTAGACTCCCCGTTCGAAGATCCTTCACAGAAAAACTACTAGGGTCAAACTCTATAGACACGGAATTATCAGAAGTAAATTTTCGAACATAAATTAAATTTTTGATAATTTGTGGAGCTAATAAACATCACGTAAAGCAAGGGATTTATTAGCAATAGTGGAATGACCATAACCCGTTATTGGAATGCGTTGACCGTTTCCCACTTGAATATAATTATGAGTGCTTAACTTAAAAAGGGGTAAGAGTTTATCGGCTTGATTGGTCATGTGGGAAGTAGCTCCGGAGTCCATGTACCATGATGGGTCATAATTTGGCAAGCTCATAGTTGCAAATGCGTTGCCTAGCTCTGTCGGAGTCATTGTAGCACCATACTCCGATTGCGCACCCTGATTATATTGTTGTTGTTGTTGGGGGCCTGTGAAGTGGGCTTGTTGATGCTGCATATGGTGCTGCTGCTGAGGGAAGGCAGGTCGAGGAGCTGCCCAATGTTGTGGGTGCGGATAGGGAGCGTAGCCCCATTGCGGAGCCTGCTGACCTGCTGCCCCTTGCCACTGCTGTTGCGGTGCAGCCCCCCACATAGGCGCACCTTGCTGAGGTGGGGGCTGCTGCTGCTGTTGTGGCTGCCCACGGCCCCGGCCTTTGCCCCGGCCGCGACCGCACCCTCTGTCGCGACCACCTTTGCCGCCACCCCTGCCTGTCGGTTGCTGCTGCTGTTGTGGTGGCGCGGTGGTGGTGCTGGTGGAGCCCGAATTGCTGGATTGGGCTACAAAGGAAGAAGCAGGGGCACTCGTATCATTGGCACGCCTCGACTCCTCAAGAAGAAGAAGAGATCGAGCCGTTTCAAACGATGGCAGAGGGTCCGATTGTTGTATGATGGCAGCAACAGTGTCAAAATCAGTACGTACGAGACCCGAGACCAACCGAATCACCATCTTTTGTTCCGACACCGCTTGATTGACATTGGCTAATTGGTCCTTCAAATTCTTCAACTCAAGACAATAGGCAGAGATGTCATTGAAATTGGAGAGGTGTAAAGCATTGAATTGATTTTCAAGATAAACCGCCCCAGTTGTTTTATTATCTTGAAAAATTGCCTTGAGTTTGTCCCAAATTTCCTGAGCCGTGGCTCCCTTGCACAAAATCGTTTCAAGCAAATCATGAGAGATTGTGCCATAAATCCAGTTCTTAACAATCGAATCAAGTCTCTTCCATAAATCATCCGATAAACCTGTTGGCCGTGAAGTTTTGGGGTCTATATGATCTAAAACATTGTAAGCATGAGCATGGCATTCGAATAGTTCAACCCAATTGGAAAATTGAACCTTGTCACGATCAAGAATCAAGGGGAAGACAGTTTTGATGTTATTCACTCCAAAGGCTGGATGATATTCAGGGGAAGAGGAAGATGAATTGTCACCGTCCTTGGTCATGGTGGGCGGCTAGAGGTGCGGTGAAGGGAGGTGGGCAGCTAGGTTTAGGAGAAATAAAAAGTAAAAAAAAAAAAAATCGCAGAAACGAGGTTTGATCAAAACCTGTGCTACGATACCATGTTAGATTTTGTGTAAACTCCTCAGATTGGATTGATTCCATTGATCAAATATATATAGGGTTACAAGAGTGAGCCATAAACACGTTAGGAGATCTCACAAGATAATCCACTTAAATGGACCTTTTTTCGCAAATTTTCCTTTAAATAAATACATTCAAATGTAGTAGGATAAATGATGTCAGACTGCTTCATACACTATACTATATTCAAATGATAAATCATCGAGGTAAGTATGAAATATACACATGTTACAGCATATATTATACATTTAGCAGAAAGAATGAATCTTTTTCCTATATATCATTTGTAAGGAATGTATAAATTATTGGTTATATTGTTGGTGTGCGTGTGGGATTGTGGTTCCTCAATCAATCTACGATATTTACAGCAAATACAACTCGAACATTGTGTACACCATCGAACCAATTTAATGAGCCATAATTATAGCCTTTCTGAGCTTGTTTCCCATGGAATGAAACATTGAATATAGCTGTGGTAGAACCCTTGTGAAAATCTATCTGCTTTGGAAATATATTTACCTTTAAGCCTTCTGGATCTTGTACAGTGGCGGTGTATGATGCATTTGATGATCCAACATTGATAACATGCCTAGTAACTCTTTTTTCGTGATCACGTTTCAGTTCACCTATGGAGATGGATGGATAATTTATGTTGGATATTATCGCGTCTGAAGTATCCTTTGGACAACTGAATTTTGTGCTTGACATAGATCGAAGGACTTTCTCTTTATATCCACAATAACATAAGAAATGAAAGTAATCCTCTGTAGTGGTTGGGAATACGAGTCCTGGATCAAGGGCTTTTACTGGACTTATCTCCCCAGCTCCAGTTTCGTGTGGATTAGCAATGTCTCCGGAACTATTTGTTAAACCTTTCCCGATGTTATCAGCAACAATTGCTGTAAGATATATGAGAAAGGTTATGAGTTCACTGGAACATTGTTATATAACATATAGTAATGATTATCTACTTGCAAGCTCTATTGTTAAACATGTCTTTGCTGTAAGTTTTTGTCTGTATGACTGTATAACTTGTATTGTACTCCGTAATAAACAAGCAGGATATGTATTCGAGTATTTACAGTGTAAAAATATGGGGAGTTGCACTGTTGCAGTATTACCTGTTGTCATCAAAGCTGATTTAATCATGGAAGGTGTCCATTCAGGGTGTATGGACTTAATGAAAGCCGCAGCACCAGTTACATGAGGACAAGCCATGGATGTTCCGGATTTTATAGCAAATTTCGACGGCTCTTTTTCAACAGATTCTTGTCCTGGTTCAATTTCTAGAATATTTGCTGCAAGTATTGCAACCCCAGGAGCCATAATGTCTGGCTGCAATGATATAAGAAACAGAATATTGAATAGATATCTAACTTATTAGTATATAATTTTGTGTCTAGGTGAACCTATCAACACTAAGACCGTCTAAGAGTGTACTAACTTGTACCTTAAGTATATTTTCAGTGAATTCGCCAGGACCTCTTGATGAGAATTCTGCAACAGTTGGTGCTGGTTTGTATTTTTCCACAGAGACGGTTGACAAAATTGTCGCTGTTGGTTCCCTGTAGTGGACATTGGAAGTCATTTTCGTACTTCACCTTAAGATACGTTTTGACAAAAATTTCTAGCATCAAAGACAATTTAAGGTTTAATGAAATCACATACCTTGTAGAATTAATGTACTTCAGTATCTGAATTCCATCATCTTCTCCAATTTGTATAAATGGGAAAGAACCTGAATCATATGGTACACCTTTTTCAACATTACTGATGTATAACAAGCCCCTTGCACCTGCATCTTGTACCTCCAACATTTTTATCCGCCGTGATATAGTAGGATAATTGTTCAAACAAACTAATATTTTCCCAGCCACTTTCTTAGGATCCAGAGATCCTGGATAGCAGTTGCTGCAAGAAAACTTGAGTGTTAAATATTGAGATATTAGGACTATACTATTAGCTCCTACATCCACAGTATGTTAACTTGGGAATTCATGTCTGATAGACTATGCTGATATGTGTCTTGTCTGAAAATGCTACTTCATGACAAATTTCGATGATTTTAGACTAAAGATCAGTTTTTGAGTATCCTTTTACTTATGTCAAAAGTCTGACATGGGTATGATTGTAGCATAATGGTGTGTTTAGAGTCTCTTCAATCTGAGGATACTTGGTTCTGGAAATTAATGAACAAGACTTGCCTCGCTTCTGATGAAGGGGTGAATGCAGAAGCCATATCTCCTGCGAATGCTAGTGGATACTGGCTAGAGATAGTAAGATTTGACAACGTGATGCCAGACCCCTACATAGAAAATGAAATCAATCATCATGAATGCCAAACTTTCTAAGTCAATGTAGTACAATGGTGTATAAGTATTCGGACGTGTCATCTCACATTGAAACTCGCATTGTTTCCTAAGAGCACGGTTGATTCTAAATCCCTGTCAATATTGGAAGCAGCAACAGTAAATATCCACGGGGCTGTATTCACTGAAGTATATGGGTCAGGACCACTATTTCCGGCTGAGCATACCACCATAACCCCCATTTGATATGCATGAAACGCTGCAATGGCTATCGGGTCACTCAAGAAATCCGCTTGTAAAAGTAAATCCATGCCCAAAGATATTGATATTATGTCAACACCATCTTTGACAGCATCATCAATAGCCTTCAATATTGTGGAACCAGAGCAATTGTCTATTGTGCAGGCCTTGTAAACTGCAAGCCTAGCAGATGGTAGACCACCTCTTGCCGTGCCTTGTGCTAATCCAAAATAACTAGCATTCATAACTTGGACTCCTGCTGCAGTTGATGCTGTATGAGTTCCATGGCTGTCGTGATCACGTGCTGAATCACTTGACTTGGTGGCTGTGGAGTTGCTGTATTTTCCAAAGCCGCCTTGTTGGATGTAGTTTCTTGCTCCAATTAATTTCCTGTGAAAAGTATATTAAAACATACAAGTAAATATGTTTACTTAGGATAGCACACATAGCAGCATATTTTGCCCTTTAATCCTTGTTCCGGAAAATCAAGTGATAATACAAATAGTCATAGATATATGCATGTCTCGAGATGAACTACAAACAATTGATAACCAGATTAACTACCCTTCAACCTGATCACCTAAAGCTATGTGCAAAAAACAAAGGGTGTGATAAATCGGAACTGAGCAAGTAAGATAAGTGAATCAAGCGACAAAATTCCGAGTAAGTACCTGTTACAATCAGACTTCTTGAAGTCGGATCCTTCCATGCAAGCTCCTTTCCATCTTGGAGGTATCTCTCCAAGACCTTCATCGGTAAAACTTGGAGATTCAGGCCATATTCCTGAAACAGTAACAATAATGGTAAGCTGATATTGTGTTATATTACTACTCATAATGTACGTACTTACATATGAAAATTTTGCCTTATTACATACTTACATAAAGAAGTCAAAAACTGACCTAGCCTTTAACATCCTCATCTGCCTTAAAATGAAATGACCCAACTTGACACGACCAAACATTCACCCGAATCGACACTTGCATCAATAAGTCAAAATAAAATTTACATTATGGCTAAATTTTTTTTATAAAACTAGATAATGCTCGAGCCATGCTCGGGTCTTAAATTAATATTGAGTATTAATTAAAATATAGAAGTCCCTATATAAATATAAGCCAATAGTCAACCCTTTAAAAAAAATATATAAGTCAATAGTCAACCACGATAAATAAATAAATGAATAAATAATGAAGTTTATAAATAAATTAATGATTTTAAAATAAAATAAAATAAGTAATATTGTTTATGAGGGACGAATCCCACCAAAAATTATCTCACTTTAGTACGTCTCGTGCGATACACGATTTGAACAAATAAATTTTCTATATTTGTTTATTTTTTCATATCAAATTAAAAGCAAAAAAATCTCAAAACAAATTATACATCAAATATTAAAAGAAAAAAAAAATAAAGCTCATAGAAAAATTGAATGATGAAAGCAATATTTGAGGAAGAAAAAAAATATAATGTCAGAAAAAATAGATTGTTTTTCAGAAATTGATATTAATAATAATATAGTTTACCGAAATGTAATAAAAAAATAAAAAATTTATGACATCATTTATAATTTTGGAGGGAAAATTTTTAGAGACAGCATGACATGTGTTAAATTTTTGAATAAGATGATGTCAGCGGTTACTATTTTAGTATTAGTTATTGATAGATATTATCTTTAGTTAATATTTGTCGGATATATTTGTATATAGTTGTATGTTTATCTTACTAGCTTTTGTATAATTATCTTATTATATTCCTAACGTGATTAGGATAAGCTTGTAACATTATTTAAAGTGATCAATGGTACACACTCCAGATTGAGGAGTTTTCCCGAAATCTAACATGGTATCACAGCTTTAGGTTTTGATCCTTATTTTTTCCTTTTTTTCCTTTTTTGCTTTCTTGCTTTCGCTACACTACACTGCCTCTTCTTCTTCGTTCACTGCCTTTTTCATCTAGCCTCACGCTATGACTAAAGATGGCGAACATACTCCTCCACCGCCACCAGTGAATGAATATCACCCGGCCCTTACGATCAACAATATAAAAAATGCTATCCCAATTACTCTAGACTACACCAATGTTCAGTATTCCAGTTGGGTGGAATTGTTTGAGAACCATGCGTGTGCATATAACGTACTCGACCATATCGATCCCAAAATTCCGAAGCCCACTGATATCTCCGATACTCTTTGGGTTCGCTTAGACGCCATAGTCAAGCAATGGATTTACGGAACAATCTCTCTTGATCTTCTTACCACAGTGCTGGCTGGGAAATCAACCGCTCAATAGATTTGGGACTGCATAAAGGATATTTTTCAAGATAACAAGAGTACTCGGGCAGTGTACCTTGAAAATCAATTCAATACTCTTCATCTTGAAAATTTTGCCAATGTTACTGCTTTCTATCAACAATTGAAGAGCATCGCTGAACAATTAGCTAATATCGACCAACCGGTTTCCGATCAAAAATTGGTACTTCGATTGGTTGCGTGATTGAACAAGACGGATTTTAATACGGTGGCTACCATGATAGCTCAGACCGATCCGTTGCCTTCGTTCAACACAGCTCGTTCACGTTTTCTTTTGCAGGAAACTCGGCGCAACTATGACTCTTCACCTCCTCGAGCCTCGTTCGTTGCTCAACAACAAACGGGACAGCAATTGGACTCCTCACCGCAGCAACTATCTCAACCGGCCGCCGGCAAAGGAGCCACTACCACCGGGAAAGGTCGCGGTGGCGGCGGGAGGGGCGTGGCAAAGGCTGAGGTCGCGGAGGTGCAAGTCGGGGTGCATCTCCCAACACGCAACAGCAGCAGAACACTCAACAACAATGGCAAAATCAGCCCACCTCTATTGGGCAGCCTCAATGGGCCCAACAACAGCAGCAGTGGCCCAATCAGCAACAAGCCTGGCAGCAGCAGTCTTGGGCCATGCCTCCAGCACCCTTTCCCACGTCCGGCCCATATCAGCCTAGGCCTGTTCTCACAAGGCCTCCTCAGCAAGCTTACTCAATGGGCCCGGCTTCATATGGCCCACCAATGACCCCAACTGATCTTGGCAGTGCATATTCGTCAATGGGTCTTTCAACTCCGGAAAGTGGATGGCACATGGACTCGGGTGCAACATCTCATATGACAAACAATCCCGGTACTCTTCTTCCCCTTTTTAATTTAAGCACTAAAAATCACATTTTAGTAGGAAATGGACATCGTATTCCAATTATTGGTTATGGTCATACCTCCCTTACAAACAAAAACCTTAAACTTAACAATGTTCTCACTACTAGAAATCAGCTGAATTCCGACGGATTGCTTCTAACGGACATGTAAATCCGTCGGAAAAACTAAAATTTTCGACGGATTTCTATTTCGTAAGAAATTTCCAACGAATTCATCAATTCCGTCGGAAAATCCGTCGAAAATTTCCGACGGAATTAAAATCCGTCGGAAAATAGGTAATTTACGACGGATTATATATCCGTCGGAAAGTTCCGACGGATTTCAATTCCGTCGGAAAATTAATGATTTCCGACGGATTTTTCCGTCGGAATCATTAAAATAATATTTTTTAAAAAAATATCTCATAACCCTAAGCTAATAAGTGGGCATCGTTTCTCTTTCCTCCTTCCTTCTCCTCTTTCCTCCTTCGTCGTTTCTCTTTCCTCCTCCTCTTTCCTCCTTCTCCTTTTCTCTTTCCTCCTCCTCTTTCCTCCTTCTCTTTCCTCCTTCTCCGTCGTCTTTCTCTTTCCTCCTCCTCCTCCTCCTCTATCTTTCCTCTTCTTTCTCCTCTACAGTTCTTCTTCTCTTTCATCTTCTCTTTCCCTCATCTTCTTTCCCCTCTACCAATCAAATGTCGAACATCAACTTCAAGTAATGGTTGTTACGGTCAAATTCGAGCTTGAAATCCTTAGATCTAAAGGTTTCATGGTCGAATTTGACCGTACGAAACCATATTCGAGTGAAATTCAAAGGAAAAATGGTAATATAGGTATGTTTTCTTGGTTTTATTTGTTTTTTTTTTTTTGTTAATTTTATGGGCTGTGAATTTGTATGTATTGTGTTTTTTTTTTAATTTTTGGGTTTAATTACTGTTGAACGTGAAGGATGGGTGGCGGACCGGTGGTTGGTTAGGTTTTGGGGTGGGTGGGTATCTGGGTGTGGGAGGTTTTTATGGGCTAGTGGGTTAGGGTTTGGGGTTGGGTGGGGATCTGGGTGTGTGGGAGGGTGGGCTACTGGGTTCGGGTTTGGGGGTTGGGTGGGGATCTGGGATCGGGTTTGAGGGTTGGGCGGGGTATGAGTGTGTGGGAGGGTGGGGCTACTGGGTTTGGGGTTGTGGTTGGGTGGGCAGTGGCGACTGAACTTGGTGGTAGGTGGTGGTCAGGGTTTGGGTTTAGGTTTGGGTGGTGGGGTTTTGGTGGGTGGATCTGGGTTAGTTTTGGTTTAGGTGGTCGGTGGTGGTTCGCTTAAGGTGGCCGGTGGTGGTTGTGGGGAATATTTGAGGAGTTTTTGTATTTAATTTGTTGCGGTGGAGGTGGCGGTTTAGCGGTGGGGGCTGATGGTGGTGGGGGTGGTGCGGCTTTTTTTTTGTTTTTTTAAAGGATTTTCCGACAGAATTTTCGTCGGAAATTTCCGACGATAATTATTCCGTCGGAAATTTCCGACGGACTTTTCCGTACCTTGAAAACCTCTTCCGATGCTAAAAATCCGTCGGAAAAGGTCGATTTCCCGACAAATAATATCATGATGACACGTTCCGACGGAATTCCGTCGGAAACATGATTTCCGACGGAACTTTTCCGTCGTAATTAAGCCGTTTTCTTGTAGTGTCTTCTTGCACCATAAATTATCAAAAATTTAATTTCGGTTCGTAAATTTACTTCTGATAATTCGGTGTCTATTGAATTTGACCCTAATGGTTTTTTTGTGAAGGATCTTCATACGGGGAGGGTAATTGATTAGGGGATTTTTATCCACCAATCACCGTCTGACAAGTGGACCAACCAGGTTCCGCCACGTGTCCTTCATGAAGGCCAACAGGAGCTTGCCACGTGTCAATCACAGATAAGTCCTCCACGGACCACTTAAGACACGCCACGTGTCCACCCATGCCAAATGGGACAACCGGCCATCAAGGCCCATTTCAGTCTAGAGGCCCGATCAGCCCTAGGTTTACCTTAAACCTAGAGAGTTGCACGCTTCCCAAGGCTATAAATACTTGATTAATCCTCATTAATCAAAGGACCGAATAATTAAGAGATCAAGCAGAGAAGAACAGACTTATTAACAACCGGCTAATCTCGCTAACAACGCAGATTACCAACACTAAGCACTCTCACCTAGAGAGATCTGATTACTTTAATTTCTGTATTGATTACTCCTTAATCAGGTACTAACTTGACCGTTGGAGGCGGAGCTCTCAGGAGTCTCCGTTATTTTGCAGGTACAGGCGTCCGGTTCCAGTCTCGGAATTGTAACTCTCCCGCAGGACATCAGAAAACCCCGAAACATTTGGCGCCGTCTGTGGGGAGAGTACTTCAGAGATGGCATCCAAGTCTGTACCGACTCCAGAAGAGAGGCGTCCCCTAGACGACCCTCAAGTTCAGTCGGACCATGATACCGAAAGTGAATTTGAAGTTGAAACTCATACAGCTCCAGACGGGACCCTAAGGGCCCGACGTACCCGTCATACCGAAATGAGGGAACGGGAGTATCTTCAAACAGGAAGCGAGCCAGCAGGCGCACCGCTTGCTCGGCAACAGCCGACTGATGGGTCTGCTCCCATCACAAGGAACGAACTCATGACCTTTATGAGGGATTTCAAGGGAGAGATCCAAGAGTTGATCAACAAAAAACCGCCTGCTTCAGTCAAAGAGCAGTCGGCCAAGAAACCTTCCACTTCACTAAAGAGGAAGTCAGTTCAAGGGCGAGAGGCGACTCCCCATCCTAAATTCAAGAAGCGGGAGCCGTCTGCTCTTGATTTCACAAAACTCCGTTATCCTACGGGAAATAGAAAACCGGTTCGTCATATTCAGGCGGACGGGTCAAAGCAAACGTTCACAGATGCTCGGCACCTGCTAGAGCAGAAGAAGAGTGACCGATTATCAGAATCGGCTTCTACTTCAAATTTTCAGGACAGTCTGCGAAATGCCTCGATGAGGCCAACTCAGTCGTACCATGAGAGTCAGTCAGGCGGCACCTCCCGTCAGTCCGACTTTCATAGTACCCAGGCGGTACCAAACTTACCATTTGTGCCGCAACAACAGTATTTTATGCAGCCACCTCCATTTGGTGGACCTGCAGCAAAAAACGTCCAACCTATGGACTGGCAGCTACGGCTGCTTAGACTTGGTGAACAGCCGACGGCCTTCTCCAAGGAAATTA